GAACGCATGAATAAACAAATAAATAAATAAATAAATTCAATTTTTAGAGTGGCACTAGCCAGTTTTTACTTTGGGAGATGGGAATGAGGTAAGATGATACCATTCCCTTTCTAAGTAGTAGAACTCCTAAGTAGAAGACTACTAATATAAGACAATACAAGTGTAGGTACAATAAAAAAGTAGCAGTGCTAAATGAAAACAAATATAACAAAGTTAAAAAGAAAGAAAAATACAAAACAAAAATTAAAAATTAGGTTTTCATATCAATGGGAATGTGAATAGTAAGTGATTGACTTGAATGTCACTAACACATACTTGTCAATTACTTTCGCAGTTTTACACTCGCCAGTTGTAAAATCCACTTTTTTTGGTGGATAAAAAGCCACCCTCATCGTAAGCTTGAAATATCGCGTGTGTCCAAGCTCCAGTGGGATTTTAGAATCTTACCCAAATAGGATTAAGCAGCTCAAGCACTACTGGTTCCTAATTAGTCCGTAGTGAGGAGGGTTGATGATCCACTAATCAGCGATCTCTGTCATAAATACCTTCATCAAGCTCACTCTATGGCAATAAGAGGGAAAAAGCCCTGAAGAGGGGTGAGCTGATCAGGGCTACGTAGGTGAATGGGAGGATTTCATTAGCAAAGTTGCGATTCCTACTCTTTGCTATGGGTTCACGACATTTTATGGGTGGTCGTAAATTTTGCCGAAATGAAATTTTCTGCTCTTTGGAGCTGATAGATCATCTAATGAATGTGCGCTTCCGGATCCACCCGGCTGGAACAGCTTATGCCAGATCTTCGGGGGCGATTACGGACAACGGCGGCTCTGCTTCATTCTAATTAGAAAAAATCCATTCGGAAATGAGCTCGAGGCCGGCGGCCTAGTGCAGCTTGAGCTTCTGCGGGGCCGACTGATGAATGAAAGAAGGGAAGTTTCGGAAGTGAGCGAATGGGGATTGGCGTGGAAAGCATATGAACTGTAAGAAGTGCTCTGGTAGAGACGGATGACAAGAGATTGCTTTTTGCGATCTCCGAGTCGGCGCCAGCTATAAAGGCCAGATGCGAGAATGAGAGAATCGCCTCGTTCAATGACCGCAAAGCCAATGTTCTGTCGCGCTTCCTCCCACAAAAACTCACAGCCGTTGATCTGGGCAATGAGTCGACACGGATCGCTATCTGGACGAGTCCGGATAGGATCCCCGGGGAACTTGGCCCAGACTGACAATCATCGAAAAATCGTGCGATAGTGTTCGGCGAGATGCAGACACGATTTCTCTCCATGCATGGCAATGATATACGACGTGGTGGCAAAAACTGACGGAAACAATGGGGCCCCATGAAGTGGGGGATGGAGGCGGCTATGTATGTGAGGAGATTTAGTGGTGCTTGTGTGGGGATGAACAATCCGCGCACAAGCCGCGACCGCTCGACCGATGCTGCCGGCTGGGCCAATGAGGCGTGACCCGCATTATATCACTTAATCCAATTCACTATGCAACAGCTACTCGCACAATAATGAGTCAGTCATAAATTTGTCCCCCCGCCAGTGAGGAACCCTCTGCCGTTGCCCTTTATTGAACTAGAACTTGCCTTTCACGTAAAGGTGTGCCGCTTTCGAGTGGACGACGCCCAAGCTGTTCCTTGCCACGCACTCGTACTTGCCCTGGTCCTCCTCTCGAGCCTGCTGGATCATCAGAGCGCCTGAAAAATTCCAGTTATTGGGAAAATGTATTTAACAAAGTAAGTTATAGTCGAGGCTTCATTAATGCATCCGAAAGTCCTACCTGGATTTCCCATAGTGGAAACGGAATATCGCCCATCGGCTCGTATGTCGACCGGCACCAAATCTCGTAACCATAGAACTTTGGGCCGTGGATCACCTCTAACCTGAAAATGGCTCAATATTTCAGTAGCTGACGTTAGTTCCCAAATAGCACCACAAAGAGCTTTGTATCGGAATACACCACAGATTTTTCCCCCTTAATTCCCAATGTACATTCGAATGCAAGATAGGAGACATAATGTTCTTGGACTGGATAGCCTGTTATTCAGGTCAGTCTCATAAAAATGGTGAGTTATGGGCAAAACGTCTGGTCTCGGATCGGACTCGTTCCTGCGACTGTACACGCAGGTGGGTAAACTAGCCATTTTAGTCAGACGAGGTAAAATTTAGTAAACCAAAAGGGATTCCAACGAATGAGTGCCATAAAAGCGAGAAGATCTTATTGACAATGGAAGGGTAATGTAGTGCCTGCAGTAAAGCTCGAGTAAATGCTACTACAGGCCACCGTCGGTAAGGTTTCGAAACAGGGAGCAGAGGGAGGTCTTGGGCTGCAAGGAAGGATCACTTAGGAGGCGCAGCGATCAGGAAGGCTTTCCAAATTGTTGATTCTCAAACTCGATTTCTATTAATGGCCGGTTTTTCCGGGGGTTAAAGCCGCCCGGTGCTGTTTCAAGCTTTATTTACTTTTAATACATGATGCACTGACCCCAAATAAGGGTGTAGAAGCGCTCACTTACAAAACTGAAATGCAAAAATAGGAGCTAAGCATCTGGAATTCAAGAAACATGACGGAATGAATCCCACACTAGTAGGGGAACCTTCCAATACATTGGGTCCGATACCTGCTATTCATGGACAGATGAGAGATGAAGTTTGATTTTGAAAATATGATTGACACAGTCTCTGCCTATTTTAAAACTCACTGGAGTGCTCGGGCACCTCTGTGGATGGCTTAGTTTCATAACGTCACTATTGCGATTTTATCAGAAGCTGGTGATAATCAGTGATCAGGGGATCAGCTAAGTGCTTTGAGTTTGAAAAAGGGCTAGGTAATGCCAATCGATCCTCTCCAATCACATTTGCTGCTTATTTTACTAGTTCTTTGATCACTATCGCTCTGAATCAAGAGAAGCATTATGTTCGAAAATCGGCCATTGGTGCTCACTGGAAACGCGCTAATGCTAATAGGTCTAACTAGTAAATTCTGAAAATGAGTTTTTAAGCTACAGCATTGCAAGGATATATTGTATAATGATGCATACCACAAAAGATGAGAGCACATGTCCAAATGACAGTACTCCTACCTGGGCATAAAAAGTAAGTCAGGGGAACTCCACACGTTCTTGCTTTCAATCTTCAATAACAGATCTTACATAGCTATTATTCAAAGTAACAGCAGCACACTATAAATCTTGAAATGTTTTCTTGGTTGCGCCATGCATTCCGCCCAGATTTAAAGTGCAGAAGCGCCTGATAAGGTACTTCGGAAAAGCTGCGGGTCAGTCAACAAGAGGTCAGCGCCTTGAATTCTACATTAAGCCCGGTTAAAAGGCTGATAATGGAAATGAAAAGCTCCCAAGAATTAGATTCAGTAGCAATCAGTACCAGTCAGCGATATGTAATAAATAGCTAGGGTTGCGTCATTGCAGCTGTGCCTAGGGAGCAAAATTTACATAATCCTTTCTTGAGTAGTCTCTGTATGGTATTCGCAGGCACTTGGGGTCAAAAATCGGTTCAACAGAGACGGGAATCGAAATCGAATGAAAATTACAAAGCCAGACCGTGCCTAGTAAAGCATAAGTAAACATTACACATACAAATGTAAATATTATAAAATCAATGCTGTGGTAAAAGCTGTGAGGGCGAAGTCCATCCATCCATCACTTGGCCATTTGAATGCGTATGTGCCCTATGCTATGGCTAGCCGATGCGGAAGACAGTGGTTTTTCCTCCCGGACGTGCCGAATTCCAAGGAATCATCTCCGAAAGGATGGAGGTTTGGTTGGCCTGGACGAGTATCGACCCTGTACTCAAATCCCAGCCCATACCTGTCTAGCTGGATAGTGCCCGCTTGCCCCTACACGACCACAGTCCAAATGTGGTAAATAAAGAAACTAGTAAACAAAGCGGTGCTTGATTGGATCAATCAATTCTGTGATGTGTCGCGCAATCCACTGTCTCAATCAGAGAATAGGTGACCAGTTAAGCTTACTGAGGTCAGTCAGTACATAAATTTATGATTCGTCTTTCTGGGCATGTTCGGAATGGATTAACCAGCCAACTAACAAGGTAAGGAGCATCGCGCCTCGGGCGAAACGATTTGATGCCCTCTTGTTGTTACTTTCTTCAATGTTTCGTGATGCCCAACCGATTCTAATACAAGACTTGCACTTTCAAATATAATTCTCCGATTACCCAGAAATTTCGTAATAAACTTGGAATAAGTTACGTACGCTCCTACGAAGGCATCATTACATCCCTTCATGTACGTCATAGCGCAACCTACTATCAGAAGGATTTCGTCATGAGAAAGGCATTCATATCGTTCATTCTAAGAGGGCCGAGTCAGCAGCTAGCGCCCCAGATGTTGGAAACGAGGTTTTCTCTTTCGAAAAAGTCATCGAGAGGACACAAATCGAGAAAAATGAGCAAAATGTTTACGATTAAAGTAAATATAGAAAATTCGAGACAAATCATAAGGGATGGTTATGGACAGAAACACCTCAAACAAATGGAACTCACCCGACATGTGACATGAGCTGTTCGGCCCTGTTCAACTGATTTCAGCGTTGGATGAGCATCAACAGCAGGGAATCCCGCAGGAATTTCAGCTGAAAAGGAATCAGAATAAATCTTGGAAGGATGAAATTGTAAAGATGAGTAACTCATTCGATTGCAATAATTACAGCAAATAGAGCAGAAGAAAATCTCCTCGAAGAAAAAGAAAATTGCCTAGAGAATGACTTCCATTGTTAAAGGCACAGTTCACGATCAAAATGGTTTCTGAGATTCCCCCACAGGATGAATTTGAGGCTCCCGTCTATACCATATCTGGCACTATTAGGTCGGAAAACGGCTTAATTGGGGACTTATAAAGGCTCAAAGAGGAGCTCGTATGTATTCTCGAACGAGTTTTACTGGCATTGTGGAGGGTGCACCGTTTACNNNTCTGGCACTATAATGTCGGAAAACGGCTTACTTGTGGACTTATAAAGGCCCAAAGATTGGCTCGCATGTATTCTCGGACGAGTTTTACTGGCATTGTGGAAGATGCACCGTTTACAATGGAACCCATGTAGGAAGTTCAAACAACTTGTCATGACCCACAGCGACAGTGAAAGAGAAGTCTGTACAGTTCTGGCTTGATGTAATCAGCTCTTTGTGCAATTGCAATAACTGAAATCTCGTCCGAATACCCCTCCATGTTATTTCCGTCATGGCAATCTCGTCCGACCCCTATTTTCCTTACTTTTGAGGAGCCATTTTTTCTCGGAATCAGTGGATTCTCTCGCTTTCTTCACTACAGATGAACTATTCCCAATCTATACTTCGGCTTTTCGAATTAAAACGGGTGCCTCAAAATTATCGTGATCTGAGCCTCAAGGAGGGGTTAGTATAAGCCGTAGGTGAATGAGTTAAAAAAATTAATGAAGTAGATAACACAACACCTCATCCTAATTAAGAAAATAAGTTGAAAAATAAAAATAACAATAAAATTAAACAAAAAACTCTCCTACCTTTGCTGAGCACTGTTATGATAGCATCTGCAACGACAGGATTCGCAACACCATTATCAGCCGAACAGGACACAACCGTTTGATTGTCAGAGCTGAGCACGGGCTCGATTCGCAGTGTTGATAGACCCGTAGGCAAAGATTTCACGATAAACCTTCAAAAATTTTTTTATTTATTTGTTTACTGTTCGGCTTTTAAAGGAAAATTACCACAATTGAACATAAAGGACTGATGGAGAAAGGAGTACAAAAGGTAAAGGAGGAACGTCGCGAAATGTGGTCAGGTAAAAAAGTTAGAACTAAAAGGAATAGATATAGAAAGTAAGATAGTAAGAAGGTTCTACTGGAACCTTACTTCATTGTCTTATCACTGCAGTAGGTTGCTGATACGGTAGTGCCGGATAGCACCATTACCACGTGCTTACACTGTGGATCAGGTTCCAAGTGAAGACCTTCTCCATCAATACAACCGGTACGAACTTCCCATGTTTGAAACGGGTCAATGCCCATTTAAACTTTATTGAGAAGCTAAGCGTTGGTCAAAGCATTCCAAGATGGGGGACTAATCGTCAAGGGCCCTAACCTCACTGCATTTTGCGGAGCTTTTTGTGTAATGAACGTTCCAAGAACGATTCGAAAACGTACATCAAGAAGTTCTGTACGAGTGAGCTGTGACATGACACCAATGAAACTAGTCAGAAGCTCATAGTCAGTAACAAGTACAGTATGGGAAGTACCAGCCTTAAATACGTCGAACATTGAAGATCGCAAAAAAGGTTGTGATTGAAGGCCCCATCAAGCCATGGCCATTACCCTGATTGGCCAATCAGGAACTTGAAGCCAAAGCGTCAAAAAGTTCAAGGAGTAATGGAAGAAAGGGATTATTCACAATCCGATGGAAAACCATGGATAGAGTAGATTTTCGGCTCATGAGTAGTAATCCAGGTAGTTGATTCAGGCCGCGAAGGCTAAGCAAATACTGCATAGGCGGAATGAACTGGTATCGCCTGCGACCAACGGTGCTTCAAGCACTCCATAGGAAAGGTGTACCGCACAGCGGTGTGAATTCAACTGTCTAAGGCAGCAGCTGACCGGCCGTAGACGTAGTCTTGAAGGGAAGCTTCACTACACTCCAAGAACAAAAATTGAGAAGGATCCCCAGATGAGATACCACTGAACTTTGACGATCAGCGCAAGGGATCATGAGAAGGCGCGGAGGAAAGTTTTGAAGAACGTGATTCAGAAGCCCTTTATGAGGATGATGTGCGGAAGATGGATCAGGAGGGTGGCGACTCATTGTTTCTGTAAATTGACGGTGTTGAAGAATTTTGTCAAGGGTGACGAAGAAGAACAAGAAGAGAAAATGGTAGTTGACTTGAAAGCTTCGAACGGGTACAGCAGCAACAATCAGGTAAGTGGTAGGTTTGAGATGCTCGAGTGCCAGGGCAGATTGCCCTCAGGGTTTCAAAGGTACAAACGGTCACCTCTCCATTACAATGAAACACTACCCCTGCTCTGATAGAAAGAAAATAAAGGAAGAGAAAAGTATGAAATAACAAGTACTTCCAACATTAATCAGAAAAGAAAAAACCGCGATAACTAAAAAACAGGCAACGAAAGAACATAAACCTGGAATCCGTAAGTGGCCTTCCATTAATTTTCCACACAACATTCGGCAGTGGATTACCATCGGCACGACAGAAAAAGCTGACTCTGGTATCGGCGATGACCGTCGAAGAATCCGGTCGCACCACCAGTCGGGCAGGATCTGTAGAAACGGATCTTTTTTATTTCGAACTCAAACTGAATTCATTTGCAATTTACAGGGATTTCGCTTACCCAAATGGGAAGCTATTCTGAATGAGAAAAAGTTTTATGTATTGGGAAAGGTACGATTCACTTGAAATGACGATCTTCATGGTTTGTGTCATGGAAACCCATGGAGGTTTTATGCTATATGAACTCTACTCATTAAAGTTTAGTTCGGGGTTTTTTGTTTCTTCTGATCACTCAACAGTTTAGTTAAAGCAACCACTTTGTTATTCAGTACCCACAGACCGACGGCGGCTCAAACCGAAGAGAAGACTGCGGAATCGTACAAAAAGTTGGTAAGCTGCCTAGAGTTTTTGCAGCAGCTGATTTATAGTTACTGAAAATCAACCAGTTTAAGTCCAGACGTTCCCGTCGAGAAGCATTTTCTATCCTGGCTTGCAAAAAAACTTAGAAGCTGTCTTATCCCCATAACTACCAAAAATTGAAAGAAAAATGGAAAATATGGGATATTCTCAATAGAGGGATCGAAAAATGTGCGGTTCAAGAATTCTTCTTGAAAGTTTCGCTACCTGTAAGTCAAACAGTAGAATATGTAACTGCCAAAATAATGACAAGCAAAATTAATTCAAACATCGGTTTACTGTACAGCATTTAAAAATCAGGCATCATTTAGTAGAAACTTTTTTCCTTTCGTTCTGATCTCAAGCCATAATTTTACCTCTTATGAGGTTTGAATTTAGTCCATGTTTCAAGATACGATCGCGATTCCGATGGGTTTTCAGATTTCCTAAGCGCCCAAAAGAACAAAATTCAATTTCAATCGAAATTTTCCCTACAAAATTATAGTCACCGTAAATCGTCAAGTTAAGAAGCAGGAACGACTGCGTTTCAAGGAAAGCCGTCAAGGTAAGCCTCTTGAACACCGAGTCCATGAGGCCACCTTGTCTAGAGAATTGTCTGGGTTAATCTTGTGTTGTAAGGGAATCAAACTCAGTGGTTTTTTCGACTTCCAGACTCTGATGAAGGCGAGCCTGCCGAAACGTTTATCTCATGAAGTTTGAACTCTTGAAAAGGCATACTAAGAAGCA